CCTCACTGCCAGCTCTCTCTTTAAAATCAGGATGCCTATTTTTCTCCAGCTCTTTTTTTTTTTGTTGTTGTTGTTAGACTGTCTGGTATCTGTACTGTACCTCTGGCAGGCAAAGACCCATCTACATTAGCTTTCACCACGGGAGCAACAAGCCCTGCAGCTGAAGACTGAAGTCTGAGTTGTAGCAAACAGATGTTCTTCAAAACTCTTCTCTTTTGTCTTGCCTCAGGTTTGACTAAGCAAGAGTCTAGAGGCGGAGAGCAGCACATACTTGTTTTGTCCGTGCAGCTGGAGCGTGGGGGACATGGACCTCTTCTTTTCCTCTGTTCCACAGGCAGGAAGGTGACAGTCACTAGACGTCCACGTGGTGCAAATAATAGGCAATGCAGAGAAAGCAATAATATTACATTTTTACGTTGTTAATATAATACTGGAAGACAGCTGTGCAGAAAAGCACTGCAAGCTTCCTGTAAAGGGCTGAAAATGACTTTTTTTTTTTTTCCTGTATGTGAGAAATGACCACAAAGTATAAAAAAATGCCAGTGAGGGAAAAAAAAAAAAAAAAGGAAAAAACTCTAAACAATTTCAGTAGCAAGTGGATGATAAAAATATCAGCGCGCTCTCTGTTCTTGCTGGCACAGTGGCCAGGAAGAGCCTAGAGAGGTACGATGGAGCTGCTTCAAGAGGTGCCAACACGCCACTGCAAGACAACATTTCCAGATAAAAATGGGTATGATAGCTCTCGTGCTAGAAAGGACAAACCAGAAATCTATTCTTTGCTAGCTGGAAGGAAGTTCAAATGATATCAGAATAGACAGCAATTTAGACTTACTAGAGAACCAAGTCTTGGTATTTTAATTGTAGTAAGATGGGGTGTTTCAGTTGCTTAAGCAACAGAATGGGCTTTTTTAGTTGTTAAACCAACCTGATAAGTTTGGTGGGGGAACACCTAGATTTTAAGAAAAAAAAAAAAAGGGGGGGGAGGGGGGAAGGGAGGCTTACAAGGGGTCATCAAGTCATGCTTATTGTGGGTGAGAATAAAAGTATTATTTCCAAGAGACTGAAATGAGGAAGTTGTTGAGCTGATGGAAGTGGAGGAGTCACTCCTCCAACAGTATCAGACATGAGCAATTAGCTTGAAGTGGCAGATGGAGTGGGTATGTACTTAACAGCACACAAAGCTTGGATGTACAGTTGTCACAATTGACCTTATTCTCATGATTTACAGACGCAAAACTTCTAGGAAATGAGCATGCACACAGGCACCTTCATGGGGACTTCACACCGTGACTTTCAAGCTCTAGTTATGGATGTCTGTGAATTCATGGGATAAATTTTCAGGAGCCTGAAAAGAGCTACTTAACAGAAAGTATAATGCTGGTAGCTTAAACCCACTGTACAAAACTGTGCATTTTTTCTGCCATATTAAATAAAAGTACTTGACAAAGCATGCATTAGCTTTAACAACAAGCTGTCAAATTGCACATGAACATTTCAGCGCAGCACCCTGGATCAGACTCTAGAACTCTGTGAGTACTCTCTTAACTGAAAACATGTGAAACAACTGAGAAAAAACAGTTAAAAACTTTCCTTGGTAAAAAATGAAACAGGCATGTAAATTCATAGGGCCCAAAATCTTTCTGGCTCCTCTGGGCATTCATGAAAAGACAGAGCCCTCTACTGGCCTCTGCTTTTTTTTTTTTTTTTTTTTTTTTCCCCCTTAAGTCCTTTAGTATTAGAGCTCCAAGTGTCAGTGCTAAAAGTTATTCTGGTATACAGAGTTTTCTTGCTCTAAATCTATTAGAATGGAATGCAATTTAGATTCCAAAAGCCATTGTTAAATCTGCATACAACTATTCCTGTAATCTGTGTCCGTCCAGTCCTGTAGAAAACATTACATTCTTTTGCTAAAATAATTGAAAATCTTTGCTGTTGATGCAAAAATTTCCAACAGATTCAGATACTAAGATTTCAGAAAATGATGGGAAGCAGGTTAAAACACTTGCCTTTCTCCTAGTACAGAATTCATATGTATTTGATCCCCTTTACTTCAGTTGAACACTATCCCCTTGCAGAAATAGAGCGTGCACCCTTACTTGCTTTTTGCAAATACAAAGACACCAGACCCTCCCAGCCCGGGTGGGGTTCAGGTGGGAGGATTGCAAATTTGATGCATTCTTCACTCTACAGTGAGTATATCCCTTTGGAAGAAAAATGTGTAGTTTTAAAATGTAAAAGTCAAATCTATGTAGTTTCATGTCAGGCCATTGCGCTAACTGAATTACTACAGATCAGCACAATGCTTGTTCTTCTTTTCATTTAGTTCATACCACTTAATTTGGAAGAATTACTGTCATTTGGAGTCATTTTACTTAAAGATGTGTGACGAGTAAAGGGTTATCAAGTCTAGGCACCCCCTCCAGCTCGTCTGACCTGACTGTAAGTCACTCCTACAGCCCTTTCCTGGCTGCCTGACTGTGCTTTCACCGCTCCCGTGCCCTGCTCAAACCTGGTCACCCGTGGCACCTCGTCAAACTTCCATCCTTGGCTGTGGGAGTCCAGCCCTTCCCCTGGGGATGAGAAATTTTCCTTTCACTCACAGAAACTCCTAGAATGCCTTTTAAGCAAGTGCGTGAGAGTCCAGACCAAGTTAAAACAGAGCTGTGCAGTGTAATCCTGACAAACAGTTTAATTATTGTAGCACCAAAAGTCAACTGGCATTTGGAGCTGGAGACCATGACTGAAAAGCCCTCAGACATTAGACCAGCGTGCAGGATGTCTGTGTGCCAACAGATGAGAAGGAGCCTACTCAGGACAGTCTTACTCTTGTACAAATAAAGAAACGTGCAAACGCCTCTTAGGTTTGCACAACTTAAACTGAACTTCGGTATTTTTAATGATTTTTAGCTTGCATTTATGAGTAGCATATGGATGTGACCACCTGAAAGAACAAAAAAAAGACAAGAAGGTATAGAACACAATCTATGTGAGGAGCTGCGATCCAACAGTCAAAAGGGAGCCATAAATTGGGTTGATGTTGTTGGGGAGCAGGATGCCACTACAGACTGTTTAGTTTTAGGCCTGTTACCTATCACACGGCCCTGAATAAGCAAATCTGCAAAAACGCTGGCCCCGGGGCAGCTTCTGCGTCTCAGGCAAAGCTGAGCCCTGGTCAGGGATGAGGCTGGAGGGGCTGTCCCTGGCACCAGCGTTGGGGGCCCGTGGGTGCCTTCCCCAGATCCAAGCACGGATCAAGCCTTAGGTTGCGATACCAGTACAACACGACAGCACTCAGAGCCTGGCAGAAGCACTGCTAGCGACCCACCTCTTCTGTCATGCTGCAGTGATAGCTCAGGCGGGAGAAACGCCAGCTTGAGAGCCTCATGTAAATGGCTGACAGCATAGAGCTGACATTAGCCTCCGTACAATTCAATCCCTTCAGGCCTCCCAAAGGATACAATTGTTTTTAACAAGCCAGCTACCGTTAACATATTTACCAAACTTCTGCTGTTTCCTTTGTTGTCCAAGTGTCACCATACTTGTGCTTTTGCCCTTTGCGTGCCTTAACACAGCCCGCAGCAAAGTGCAATCCCGCTCTTTTCCTAACCAGTGTGCTTGAAAAGCCAGCATTGTCGTTGCAGCAGAAGCTCCCAAACTGGCCGCAGGAATCAGGTAATTAGTCACATGAAACAGCAACTAGACACACGCTCTGCTTTCCCTGGAGAAGCCTGCCACTTGGGCTGTCCGGGCTGCTGCACGGTGTCATCAAAGGCAGTTGGGAAAACATCAATGTCATTGATAAATGCAAACACCCATTTCCTCACACATACAACCAACTTTGTAAGACGGGCAGAATCCCTGCTCCTCTGGGTTGTTTCTTCCCCAAAATGCTCTTCAGGGCATCACAACAGACACTCCTCGCCACATTACTGCCAAATACTCCACACTGATTATCCAGTTAGTTCACATATGATCAACAAGGGGTTTCAAAACACCCATGCACAGGTCCTGTGGCATGCATTGCCTACGTCCATGCAAATCAATTACACAGTCCAGAATGCTCCTGGACTCCACAGCTCGCCAGCCAGGACTACGGCATGATCCTCAGCACGTTTTTGGCCTAAGCAAACCAGCTCCATCCCAATCTCCCAGGCACAGCTCAGTACTCTACACAATCCTGGGACACTTCTCAACGAGCAGTTCACACTCAGCCACCCCGTTTTGGAGTCTGAAAGTGTTTAGTAGTATGTGCAGTCAGTGCCAGAGCACAATTTTAGGCACACTAAAGTGTGGCTTTTGTGAATACTGACTGGCTCATGCTGGCACGGAGGCTGCCTGGCCATTTCGGTTCATACCTGGGGAAAGATGAGAATCAGCAAAACACACCAAGGCCAAGATGATACACAACTTCACTGTACATCCAGTCTTGCACATATTGGTAGGGGTGACAACAACCATATTTGAAACTGCACCCAAAACCAGCCCAAAATGCCACGTTGACGTGAAACATTAAAGTATCTTTCAACTTACTCCATGGTTTCACTGATGAAGAGTGGCACACTATCAGGAAAAGGGCTAGTAACAGTACAGTTACTACTCTACTACTCCTATTCTCATGGAGACAAAAGACTCAAGTAGAATGAAGTAAATAATTAGGAAGAGCCCTGGAGATGATGTTGGAAGTAAGACTTCTTCAGATCCAAGGAACAATATTACATGGGGGATTTCTAAGTACTCATTTCCCATCACACAATTCCACCAACTTTCACAATAGAACACACATATGAAAACAAACCCAGTGGAGATCTTGGATTATATTTATCATGAACTTGTGTGGACCTGTTAATAAAGATAATCCCTCAGGCAGAAATGATGGACATAGCATGGCTGAAGCAGCCTGACATGCATTACCAGTAAAAGAAAAAAAATACCTGGTGCACAAAGAAACGATAAATGCCCATCAGAGAGACAAGATAAAGGAAAACACCCTCACAGACCTCTATTTTCAGAGAGTTTATTTATAGAATTCTTATTTCAATTTGGCACACAACTGGAAAATGCGAATACAATTTGGTGGGTCAACAGGAAAATTGCTGGAGTGTTGCTGGTCCTTTGGGCAGAAAAAAGAAATGTGAATTACAGATAAGGAACAACTGGGGTTGAAAACAGTATTATCTGAAAGTAGGCTCTATCAGCTGTAGACCATAAAAAAAAAAAAAAATCTGAAAGATTTATAACCTCAAGCCACTGGGGTGATGTTTCCAAACTCTCTAGCAATGTAGACTGAAGCTGCCAGAGGCGAGTTTAACACAACCTAGGTTGTTTTCTCTATTGGCAGAAGCTGAGCTTTTCAGAACTTAGCTTAATTTACTGTTTCTGTTTTATCTGGCTTGCTTCTGCTCACATTGAATTCCGTGGGAATGCTGCTACTGACTTCAGCAAAATCAGGCCTTTCAGAGAGGGCCAGTGGAGCCTCTTTCATAAGCAACGAAGCTCTGCACCCAGTGGAACAGAAATGCCAAATGCTTATAACATTACACTGAAAAGCTGTTTTTTTTCTCCTCCTTTTTAAGAGAGTTTAACTTCTCCTTAGTCCATTTGCATCTTTTCTGCACGTCCAGTACCACCAATCACACAAACCACTCTTCAAGATGCCTTTATTTTGTTGGCATCTATCACACTTTTGGTAGGATCAGCACCTTAGACCTTGGTCCCAAACATCAACAGTCTGAGGATAAACTGGATAGTTTGAGGCTGTGTCTCTCTTGTTCTGCAACTGTTTCCACCTCCGAGCTCTCATTTTTCTTGTTCACATGGATTAAGAAAGGAGTAAGGATCAGGAAGGAACAGAGAAATGAGAAACAACAAAGGGAAAAGTGGATGCTAATTGCCAGTTCCAGAGGGAGCCTCAGAAGGAAATTGGATGAGCGCCTCTTAACCTCTCTCAGAAAGGCTGAAAGAGCTGCTGTGGCATCTCTCAAAATCATGAAGTATAAGGCTTCAACAGCTTCTTGAAACAACCCTTGCATGGCACTACCTGTTTGTGGGGTGGGAAGACACCTGCAGCAGATGCTAGCACTTCATTTACAGACGGTGGGGTTCAAAAGTCAAGTAACCTTTGAGTCCTTGGTTACCAGAGTCTTGTCTCAGTGAGTTACGTTACAGTGAAGTGGATCTAGTGCAGTTTTATCATTGAGGATACCAAGTCAGAACATAGACCACAAATGATATTTTGGCAAAGTCAAATCTGTAACTGTTTGTGTGAAAGGGCCTAAATCTCTACAACAAAGCACGGAAAACAGGCTCAGTGTGAAAGACCTGACATGAAGCCATTCATCCAGATTCTCCTTCATTAGAGACAGCCTTCCCCACCCTCATGCTGCTCGGTCTTAAAATCATGCAGGCATTTATCTGTGGTCCACTAAATCTTAACTGTATGGTTACCTAACCCCTGAAGGACAAGAAATATGAAACTATCAATGTAATTTAAATTAAGACATAGAAATAAGTGATCTCTGTTACAATTTCTCCAGCACAGCCATCTGCTTTCCTCTCTGCTCCTCTAGTTTACCTCAGAAAACAGATCCGCAAAGGGGTTGGCTGTAACTGGGGAGACAGTGGCCTACAAAAGCAGTTTTGCCATCAGAGAAACTGCAACTGGAGCAACACACACGAGACAACGAAGCAGCCAGCCACGGCTGGCATAACACAGACAAGGCCCAGCACAACAGTCACTTCTCACTGCACTGTCCTTGGGGGACGCAGACTCCTTTGGTTTTGCACTATTAAACCAGGAGTATACAGTATTGCACCACTGTTGTACAGCTCCAACAATTAAGAGGATGCTACAAAGATGTTGGGGTACATTTGCTTACAAACAAAAAAAGCAGAGATGAACTCCAGTGCTCACTCCCCTCCATGCCTCTGACCTCCAACCACTGGCCATTTTAGAAGAAAATATCTCTTTTCGCACCTGAAGCCAATTAGAAAAATCTGTCCGCTCTAATGACCATGAAGTAAAAGCAAATATATGAATCATCATCACTAGATGACTTTGCAGCTTCACCTATATGGTTAATTCACTATCCAAATAAGCCATCTCTGCTAAATAGTTTCATTATTATTGTGTTCTGTAGATCAGAACAAACAGCTCTTTTATAAGTCCATCTGCAGAAATCTGGCACATAGGTTAAGCTTGAAACCAGTTAAATACAATATTCAAGCCTTTTATTTCTGCATCCATTTATTTAGAAAACATTCATTCAAGGAATGAAAGTTAGGTACTCCTGGTACATTACAAGGTATCATCTATGCTACCATCCACTTGTTTCAGCAGAATGAAAAAGATAAAATACATACGGCTTTAGAATTTTGTTTGCAATTAGCTTAATCATACTAGTCACTCAAAAAAATCCACCATTGGAAAACCAATGTTAAAACAATACATTCTCTTAATTCCCTTGTTCACAGCTAAAATGATACAATAAATTTTTTTAATTAAAATTTTTAGAAAATACATACTTTTGTAAGTCTCACCTACACCATGCGATTGTTTTAAGTAGCATCCCTAAAAATAGTAGGACAGTTTTAAATGGAAAAGGCTAGAATGTGAAGAACAATGTTCTAGCCCAGGAATGAGACATGGGTACAGTATGATTTCGTACCACTCTGGGCATAAGCTTAAGTCACATCCACACAACTGAGACCAAATATTTAAGCCAGATTAGCAAAATGTTTTAGAATGGAATGTAAACGTAGTCAAAAAACCAGGATATAATGAGTGTTAACACTATACAAACAAATGTCGAAGTGCACTGGCACGCATGCACTATGCAAGCACTTTCAAATACTTGCTGGTCTGCATAAGAGTTGTATTTATTGTAAAATGTCATCAGAAATTGATATTCACCAGGTGCTTACCTATTCTAATATCAAAGCAGCTCCTCTTTAAACTCGACTGGGGGACCCCAAGCACAACCTTAGGCCTTAGCTGTGGGAAAGGTGTATGAGCTTAGGCTCTACCAGAAGTAATTAAATGAGCACCTCACCCCCACCTTTTCTTCATTTTCACACGAAGTGAGATTGGGCCAACAGGGCCCACTGTGAAAGGTACTAAACACTGATTCACTGCAATAAAGCTTATGTCTTCCTAATGGAAGGTATTTTAGCCAGAATATGGAAGGAAGAAAAGGAGAGCTGAAGTTCTTCTTTGTATCTTATCTTCCTAAGGAAAAATAACTCAGGCAAATACTTTCGTTTACTGCTCTACACCTTCAACTAAGATGCAAGTAAGCCCTTGTACAATATGCAACATTACCTTACTTTTCATTTCTCATATAGAAGCTAAGTCTGATCACAGCTTATGCAAGGAAGTAATAGAATCGTACCCAAAATAAAAGCAGTCACATTTGCACAAGGTAAGTTTATATGTGATTTCAGCCTGACTCTAAAACCACAGCCTGTCACAGACTTTGTCTCGATTACCTATTTAAATACTGTGCATTCAACCTCTGTGACACAATCAGGTTTTTATGCTAGGTTAACTATGGCAATTCCTCATATTTAAATTACAATCCATGTTCTTTAACTAATAAACAGAAGAGCTGCTTTTTTTAATTAGGCTTTAAGTCATTTAAATCAGCCTGAAAGAAAAAAAAACGTTCAGTCTTCTTGTAAAATATTACTAAAGCTTTGATAAATATCTGGATTTTTATTCTTCACTGAGGTCTGGCAGCTCAACAAGTTTTTCAAAACAGATCCAACCCTTTTTAAAAAGGGCAGATTCACTTACTTGTCATAGTATATAGTAGTTTATTAAGTTTAAAAATTAGAAGTTAAGTTGCTTTGTGTATTATCTACATGTGTAAAAGCTATTTTCAAACAGCAGCAATAATGTCAATTTTGGAAAAACAGTTCTCTAAGAAGACTACCCGTACCAGAAGGCTAGTAGTACTAAGACTCAGTCTACTTTGCCAGTAAGTTTACAAAATAAGTCTGTACCTGTAGTTATGCAACATCTCAGAAGGTCTTTTGGAAATGTGAACTTTAGCTAAAAGTTAGAAGAGGTATCTAGACATGTTCCGCTACTGACATAAGGAGAAAAACCTCTTTTTAATCAGAACAGCAGTATGATGAAAGAAGTTGAAATGAAAGTAATTAAGAATTTGGTTTAAACAGTTTAAGCTTATACTGGGAAAACATCTGTATTAACTAAGAATTTAGGTTTCTTGAGGAGAGGTGGGAGGCTTATCTACTGACAATTTAAATAACAGACGTATTTTAACCTTCTGAAACCTTTCAGAGGGATGCAGAGAAAAACAATACAGATGGGTACACTTTTACAGCTAGAAGTCCACATACTTTAGAGGTGCAACAAATTGTCATTTGGTATCAAAGGGCTCATGTTCTGTTCTGTGCATATTGGATTGACAAAGAACACTTTTTGGGTCAAGTTTTGCAGACCCTGCTGTACTTCAAGTGCCACACGTTCTTCAAACTTGCTCAAACAGATTCAAGTTCAAAGGGTCTCTCTCTATGTAAATTTCCAGAAACCAAGCAACTGCAAACTGTTTGGGATGGCTCAAGGGCTTCCTGCGCAAAACAGCACTCCTTAACCTAAAAAGACAGAAAGTTATTCCTGGGGTTGTAGAAAAACTGCTGATTTGTATCTCACGTTGTAAATGGAAACAACAATCAACTCACTGTTTCTGTCAGATTCATTTCATATCACTCTATGCAAGGGGAAAAAAAAAAAAATAATCTTCAAAAAAAAAACCAGGTACTGAAGGAAGAGGCTGCTTCTCTAGGCACAAACACCAAATGATGAACAAGTCCTACATTAGAGAAAAATCTAGCATGCATCTTCAACACTGTACGCAGAAATCAAGAACAAGTAGTAACTGTTAAAAACTATACAAGGAAATGTTGCCTTCTTTTAAAAAGGTATATGGAAATAATTACACTGATTAATAAAACACTGATATTCACAACCCATCTGAACTAAACTGGTTTACATCTTCAGGAAAAAAGTCAAAATAGTACAGAACATTTCTTTTTTTCCTCTTAAAAAGCAGAAGGAGCACCACACTGTCAGAGATAAACTGCTGCTGCACATAAATTTGTGTCAACCTTCTTGTGCTTTCTGTTCAGGGGATACAGAACACAGGGTCATGGTTCCTGCTAAATCGTTCACAGAATTATCAGATACCTATACAAATCAACTTTTCCTACATATTCATTATGGAGTTGCTACAACTACAGTAACAAGATGTAAAAGGTTCCAAGAAACTCCTGTGAGAACTACTTAGGTTATTTTATGAATAAATTTGCATTTTTCTTTAGTTTACCTACGTTCACCAATATATAATGTATATGCACCTTGAATATAAGAACTGCATGAAAACAGTCTGAAAAAAAAAAATGTGGAAACTGAGGCATGAGGCAGTCAGTCCCCTTCCTACTTATGATTATTATTATTTTATTCTCTTTTAAATACCACCACTGAAGAAACCCAATGCACGATATAGTCCCCAAACCCACACCAAACTCCTCTGCTTTGCTGTGCATCTTTCCCAGCAGGTTTCCACACCTGCTTCTTCAGACAGAGCATTTGGAGGCTACAAAAGCACAACTTGTACTTTTCCATCAGTCAAGTTTATTTATGTGATGTTTTTTCCAGATCTGGAAGTTTTTCAATTAGTGCTTTATGGTTCATGTTGATACTGGCTATAAGTCCTCCCTCATTGCCATCTGAGCCAGTGTAACTAATTTCTTCACCAGTCAGGGTAGTCATATGGCCACCCAATGCTCTCAACACTGCATTTCCAGCACATATGTCCCACTTCTTAATGTACGTGACATGGATATACACGTCAGCTTCTTCTTGATTCTTTTCAGCCACGTCAAGGAGGGCTAGCACTTTATAACCTAGAAGAAATGGGTAGAAGTAAAAACAAACAAACAAACAAACAACAACAAAAAAAAAAAAGAAACCCCTTAAACCAAGTTTTCCTGTTCATCACAAAGGATAAATCTGCTATTAAGTGTTAATAATATGTACATGTAAGATTTAGGAAAGTGAAGTCATTAATTATATCATGCTATCCAATATAATGGAGGAAACACCAATAAACTTTGTCCTCCGACCTGTAGAGAAAATCTGAAAAAGGATCACCCCCACCACCAAGATTTTTCCACTGCACCCCAATTAAAGACTTTGGAATTTGAGACACATTATTTTTAGACCGCCTTTACCAATATGCTGCACAGACTTATCTACAGACACATTAAAAGAACAAGACCAGAAACTTGAATATAGTTTTGCTCTTACGTTCACTCACTTATTTCTCAACCTCTGTATCATGCTGAAGTCTACCTTTTTCTTCCTGACTTTTTATTAGAAGAGAAGGAAGATGCATATACCGCCCTTTAATAAAGCAACTCAGCCCAGGGCATTCTCCTTTATCATGCATTATGCAGTACAAAGTCATTGCTCAAAATAGTATTCTTTCTTTTATGGAATTTTTTCGATTTTTCAACTGTTCAACCAATATCCTTGTTCCATTAAACTGCTCCTTTCTTTATCTTCTTATACAGAGTCAAGCCCTGAAGATCTGCTAATAATCAGTTACACTTTCACTTCCTTTATCATAAGAAAACTCATTTAGATTAATTTTCAAGAACATATGCAAGAACTTCTTGACTAAACAATTTGTAAGGGTGCGCTAGCTTTCCATATTAAAGACACAGAAAGACACATTTCCATAAAATTAAAATTTTGCATGGTTTTTCTGACACTTTAAAACAGTTACACTAGTGTCTTATGTATTTGTATTCTGAAAATAACATGCACAAGGATATTGTTTAAGGTTACAAAAAGTAAGCTAAAACCTCTTTGGACTGAATATGAGGCAGATAAAAATGGACTTTAGTGACACTAGTTTTCCCTGGACATAAATACAAGAAATAGCACCAAACTTTAATGTCTTTTTCTTTAAAAATCGTTTAATTCAACGTACTACTAGTGAACTACCAAGCAACAGATTCTCTTCCATGATTCTGTATGTGGTCACACCACCTGTTTTTCTCCACAGAGGCACGGGTGCCTTCAGTGAATGCACACCAGTGCGTTCAATGAAAGGACTGCAAGGACTTTGCTGGGCCACGCTTAGATTCACTAACGCAGTGGTGAATACTTGTGAATAGCCTGAACCAAGTTTATATGTAGGTTTCTATACACAGGAAAAACAGTGTCCCTATTGTGAAGTGCTTGCTTTTAGGGATGTGAAGAACAAAATGTAAGCAGAAAAAGAGGAGATGCCACAGTTATATCCTTTTGTCTTAGAACAGCTATCCCGTTAAATCATTTGGAAGCAATAAAATGGATAGGATGTTTAAGGAATCAGACCTGCTCCACCAGCGGGGATTATCACAGTCTTATTTCCAAATGTCTGCCGTGCAACCTGTTCAACTTTTCCTGCGTGGGAGCGGGATACAATAATCCTTGGAGTTTTCTCATTGTAGGAAGAACGAGCTTTTACGTTTGACCCGCCATCCACCATTGCCCAGGCTACAAAAGAAACACAAATTCTGCTGTGATTTACCAAAGACAATCTTTGTTACATGTAAAGAGAAAACGGATACTTATCTGAGAAAATGGAATTAATGCCTCTGACTTAATTTCCCTCCCTCCTGCAGAAGAGAAAGTTAGGGCTGACAGAAGGAAGGGGTGCATGCCCACGTGTGCACACAAGCAGAAGATAAACAGTGCTCCTTACCCCCCCACACGTTTGTGCATACAGCATTATCCCATGCCTGACTATTCCTGTGTGATACTTCCAAAAACAGAGTAAGAGGGAAAAATCCCAAGTAGTAATACTTAGAACTGGCAATTGGAAAGCCACCAAAATTAAAAGGGTGGCTCTGTGTCAGAAATAGACCCAGTATTTTCTCAAACAATCTTCTTGTAAGAACAGAAAACCCCACTACCCTTCAAAGCAGATAGCAAAAGATGTTAATGAGTCATTTTGTTCAGAAGGATAGCAATATTAAGGAAGGAAATAGCTCAGGATATTAATATTAAGGAAAACATTTGATGGTGTGTTTTGAAGGACTGGATTTAGAATACACAATTTTACACTTGTTTCATCATGAGGTTTGAAGTCAAGCTTAGTAGGTGGCATCCCTTAACCATTAATTTGACATTTATTTAGCATACTAACCAGCAATTTCACCTCAGTAGAGGGCCAGACTGTATGGCAACAGACCAAGTTATGTGTAATAACAATGCCGACTGCCCTTTATTGCTTTGTATTTGTATGGCAATATTAGGAACAATCTACTCACACCATACTGGTCTTTCTAGCTTGTGCAATGAATACTCTTCACATAGAATGACAGAATTCATCACGTCATCTGATGCCATGTCTGAACATTTCACACTTTGCTATTATTAAAGGAAATAAATTCTCAAAATTACAGTGCTAAAAAAACGTTTCTTCAAATAGATGTTGAAACTTAGAAAAAAATGTTCCAAAAACCCCCAATACTCTTAAAGCATATTGGAATATAGCATATACTGAAATGACTGGAAATTAAGTTCATATTTAAAGAAAGGAAAACATTTAACAAAAAATATTGAACATTCAGTGGAAAAAAAAAAAGAGAACAAATAAAAAATACATGTATTCAGTATTAGTTTCTGTGCCAGAGCTACTGCACAACTTCACAACTCTAGAGGTCAGTATTGCCTAAGGTAAAGTGAGAACAGAAATTCTTGTTTCAAATATATAATATGGAAAACATGAATACTAAAACTACTTTGAAGCTTTCAGAAGTGCACACATATTGCCAAACCCGCAGCCATCCTCACTGATATATCATTAATACTGAAGAATTCATTAGTTCAGGGTTGTGGCATTAAAAGCATGTCAGATAACCATTAAGGTTATGCTGGGCAGACTTGCCTGTTACATACAAACAGTTGCCATTAAAATCTTTAATCGATCTTTGCTATTCACACTGAATAAGCACCAGCTCCTGGGTATAATATCACGGACCCGAGGTGTTCTGCTAAATGAGCAAAGTACTAACAACCTGGTCACGCGTAAGACTGGTCAGTATGTGTAGGTCTCACTTTCTTTGGTTTGCTATAAGCACTCTGATCAAAGGGATCTTAATTCTTAAACATATTTTCAGTTAGTTTTAAATGCAGCATTTTTATGTTAAACAAGGGCAGCATTTTCCTTTGTGGTTTTATAGCACAGAACACATCTGCTGCTCTAACTGAGGTCTGCAGCAGCGCTCTTTTGCCCCAGGTACTATTTTCTCATTTATACCTACAGATGTTGTCTCAAACATCAAATTTTAATTAACATTATGACTGAAGATGCTGGAAATATGTGAAGGCATAAAGGTACCTGTATATGCTGAGAATGGCTTGTGTATCACTCCTATTACTGGTTTACCATTTACAGCCACACAAACCATTGTCGTGACGTACTGCCGAAGATCCTCTGTGGGCAAAATGAGAAAATGAGCAAGTTGACAGCCAGATACCAAGAACACAAAAAGAAAGCAGACCTGACATTACAGAAATGTTGTCCTTTGCAGCCTAGTCTATGTTCTGCCTCTTACAATTACGTAGCTTTGTTGTATCTTCAAATAACCTTGCAGTTTTCCACCGACCTTAAAGACTTTTCAGTTTTCTAACAATTTTCCCTCTTCAGTAGATGTAATCTATACTCCTACCAGACCTAATGCCAACAGCCGTGTCTTATGCAGCATGTATTTCCATGGAAGTCTGTGTGCCTATATCCTCCCTTCTCTGTCCCACCTCCTATCCTCTACTAGTTCAAAGCTGATAATTCAAATACCAAAGAACATTCACCGGAGAAGGTGACTGTATTAATGGAATATTCACAAAAAAAAAAAAAAAAAAAAACAAACCAAAAAAACCACATCCCAATTTTTCTGTTTGTTCTACAGTACTTAAAAGCAAGAATTTTAGTTGGATTGCCTCGAACTGCTTATGTGACATCTTAAAACATTTGAAAAAGAGGAAGATTAAATTATGCATGCTTTTTTGAAAAACTATAACAATCTTTTAATATCAAGTTAAATAGAATATTTACTTATTATTCCATTTAAACAAAAAACATTCTGAGATATTTAGTGTTACCACAGTAATAACTGAAACAAAGAAATGTGTAATTCCAGCAGAATACATAAATGGCAGATACCATTTATTTTAGCAATTACTTAGCAGTAAGGAATACCAAAGTAATTTCAGAGTTGGAATATATAAAAGCAAATACTGTGCTTTGATAACTACAGATATTTCATTATGCAATTTGTTCAATTAAATCACACTAGCTTTGACATAACACACGTTAACAAGAGATGCCATTTTAAATACTTACTATTTTGTCTCCAGTATAAAAGGCAGACATCAGAATTATACACATGATTTGTCAACAAGAATCAGCTACCTGTGTATTCTTGTGTAGCATCTAACGGATCGATCCAGACAGTAACACTTTCTGCTGGAACCTCTTTAGGCTGTATTTTTTGTTTTATGTCTTCAGGAATGCTGTGATCCCAAGAGACTGTCTCCTGATCAGCTGTATCAACACGCTCTTCAGAGTTTATCTATGATAAGACAAGAAAAGTAGTTGCATTAACTTATGAGATACGGTAACCATGGTACTTGGGAAAATTACAGGTTTGTTCACATCTTCTCTTTCCCGCTTCACCTCCAGCTAAAAGTGCATGAATTAGTCATTCTTCAGCAACTCATAAACTATTACTGCCATGTGACAAGCAATGGAAAACCTCAATCCGGAATTTTACTGTGAACCTCACTACAGGCAGACGTTGTTTCTTTGGCTACAGTTCTTCCTACTGAATGTTCTCACAGTAGGAATTGCAGGGTTTTTCTTTTAAATCAAAAGTTAAATGTAGGTGCTTCAAAGACTACAAGCAAAACATTTGACTTTGGAGAATCATGTGGTATACAGATATAGTAGGGGTCTAATATTCCATTTATATAGATCAGTAGATGCAGACTGAGATGTACAGGTATTTTATCAACAAATATTGTGCAGACTGTGGTATGACCTGGGGGAGTAGGAATCCTAGTATATATTCCTGCTTCTGGCACTGCTACAACTAGCAATTTAAGAAGCTCGATTGGATGCAACCATTACACAACTGTCAGATTAATGCTATTTTATAAGCAAGTTAATAACATTCCCTATCTGTCTTTAGGGTAGGTTGAGGTAAGGACCTTAAGAAAACCCACAAAGAACATTTATGCACAGCAGTCAAAGGTCACATTTAAGCTTACTCTCACTTTCTGCTTAGCTTAATTAATTTTATTCTGGACCAGAGGGCATTTCAGTATGCTGAAGAGCGTTTGGTCCAGTTGTGGAGCACACAGTCCCAATCTGTTGAATGGAAGAACGTTCTGCAGAACCCAGTACAATGCCATTGTGACTGCAGTAGCAAGATATTTTTGGATCACAAGAGATGTAGTTATCACCAAACACTGCACGTAATGATCTCTCATGTTACTAAGCATCACATAACCTGGCGGGAAGAACTACTGGGAAAATATGGATCAATCTGTCTTAACCCATCCATACCAGCTTACTACCACTGCAGACATCATTTATAGGAGACCTGTAATGCAACTGGACGTAAGTAGCGCTAACAGGAATTCGGACAAACTCAGCCCATTTACTTTTAGCACCTCAGTTACATTAGGAGACTAGAGAGGTCACACACATCAACAGGAGAGCACCTGAAGAGCAACACAAAGGAATTCCAGCAAGTCAGCTTCACTGGGGACCAACTTAAATGCCCCTGTGAAAACTCACATAGCATGGGGAATAAACAAGAGGAGTTAGAGATGCGCACACGCCTGCAGGCTATGGTCTTATCGGTATCATGAAGACATGGTGGGATGGATCCCACTGGAAGGTTGGAATGGAAGGACACAGGCTCTCTCGGAAGGACAGATGGGGGAGATGGGGAGGGGGTGTTGCCCTGTGTGTCAATGACCAGCTGGAGTACAGGGAGCTCTGCCTGGGGATGGGTGAGGATTCAAGGGAGGGCAGGGACAGGAGAACGTTACAGGGGAGGTCTGCTACAGGCCACCCAGCCAAGAAGACTGATCGGCTGAGGCACTCTATAGACAGATAGGAGCAGCCTCACATTCACAAGCCCTGGTCCTCATGGGGGACTTCAACCACCCCAATATCTGTTAGAGGGACCACACAACAGGGCATAAACATTCCAGGAAGATCTTGGAATGCGTTGATGATAATTTCCTTCTCCGAGTGATAGAGGAGCCAACAAGGAGAGGTGCTATGCTGGACCTTGTTCTCACCAACAAGGAGAGGTTGGTGGGGAATGTGAAGCTCAAGGGCAGCCTTGGTTGCAGTGACCGTGAAATGGTGGAGTTCAAGATCCTTAGAGCGGCGAGGAGGGCACACAGCAAGCTCACTACCCCAGACTTCATGAGAGCAGACTTTGGCCTCTTCAGAGATCTGCTTGGCAGACTACCATGGGATAAAGCCCTGGAGGGAAGAAGGGCCCAAGAAATCTGGTTAATATTTAAGGATCACCTCCTCCAAGCTGAGGAGCAATGCATCCCAACAAAGAGGAAGTCAGGTAAGACTGCCAGGAGGCCTGCATGGATGAACAAGGAGCTCCTGGACAATCTCAAAGATAATAAGGAAGCCTACAGAGCATGGAAACAAGGACAGGTAGCCTGGGAAGAATACAGAGAAATTGTCTGAGCGGCTGGGGATCAAGTTACGAAAGCTATAGCCCCAATAGAATTAAATCTGGCCAGGGACGTGAAGGGCAGCACAAAAAAGCTTCTACAGGTACATCAGTGATAAAAGGAAGACTAGGAAAAATAAGGACTCTCCCTGGAAAGAAAAGGAAGACTTGGTCACTTGAGATATGGAGAAGGCTGAGGTACTCAATGACTTCTTTGCCTCAGTCTTCACCAGCAAGGGCTCCAGTCACGCTGCCCAAGATGCAGAAGGTCAAGGTGGAGACTGGGAGAAGGAAGAACCACCCACTGTAGGAGAAGATCAGGTTTGAGACCATCTAAGGAACCTGAAGGTGCACAAGTCCATGGGACCTGATGATATGTATCTGCAGGTCCTGAGGGAACTGGCAGATGAAGTGGCTAAGACACTACCCATCCTATTTGAAAAGTTGTGACAGTCCAGTGAAGTTATCACTGACTGGAAAAGGGGAAACATAACCTCCGTTTTTTTAAGAAGAGAAATAAAAAAGATCTGGGCAACTATAAGCCAGTCAGTCTCACCTCTGTGCCCAGCAAGATCATGGAGTGGATCTTCCTGGAAACTATGCCAGGGCACATGAAAAATATGGAGATGACCGGTGACAGCCAACATGGCTTCACTAAGAGCAAATACGGCCTGATGAATTTGGTGGCCTCCTACAGTGGGGTTACAGCATTGGTGGATAAGAGAAGAGGAACTGATGTCACCTACCTGGACTTGTGCAAAGAATCTGACACTGTCCCACACGACATCCTTGTCTCTAAATTGGAGAGACATGAGTTTGGTGAATGGACCACTCGGTGGATAAGGGATTGGATGGATGGATGGTCACACTCAAGGAGTCGTGGTCAATGGTTTGAGGTCCAAGTGGAGGGAGGTGATGAGTGGTGTTCCTCAGGGGTCGGTGTTGGGACCAGCGCTGTTTAACATCTTTGTTGGTGACACAGACATGGGATTGAGTGCGCTCCCAGCAAGTCTGCTGACAACACCAAGCTGTGTGGTGCAGTTGACACACAGGAGGGCAGGGATGCCATCCAGAGGGACCTTGACAAGCTTGAGAGGTGGGCTCGGGTGGACATCACGAAGTTCAACAGGGCCAAGTACAAGGTCCTGCACATGGGTCGGGGCAATCCCAAACACAAATACAGGCTGGGTGATGTGTGGATTGACAACAGTGCTGCAGAGAAAGGCTTGGGAGTAGTAGTGGATGGAAAACTGACTATGAGCCAGCAATGTATGCTCGCAGTCCAGAAACCCAACCGTATCCTGGGCTGCATGGAGAGGAGTGTGGCCGGCAGGTCAAGGGAGGTGATTCTTCCCCTCTGCTCTTGTGAGACCCCACCTGTAGTATCGTGTATAGCTCTGAGGCCTCCACAATAAGGGCATGGACCTGCTTGAGCAGGTCCAGAGGAGGCCATGAAGATGCTTGGGGGGCTGGAGCAGCTCCCTTACGAGAACAGGCTGAGAGAGTTGGGGTTGTTCAGCCTGGAGAAGAGAAGGCTCCGAGGAGACCTTATAGTGGCCTTCCAGTACTTAATGGGGGCCTACAGGGAAGATGGGGAGGGACTCTTTTCATCTGGGAGTGTAGTGATAAGATGAGGGGTAATGATTTCAAACTGAAAGAGTGTAGATTTAGATTAGATATAATAAATAAATTCTTCCCTGTGTTGGTGGTGAGGCGCTGGCCCAGGGTGCCCAGAGCAGCTGTGGCTGCCCCCTCCCTGGAAGGGTTCAAGGCCAGGTTGGACGGGGCTGGGAGCACCCTGAGCTGGGGGAAGGGGGCCCTGCCCATGGCAGGGGGGTTGGGACTAGATGATCTTTAAGGTCTTTTTCAACCCAGACCATTCTATGACAGTATTTCTATGCTCCTTCTCCTGCCAATAAAAAGAAAATCATTACTACTGTGCCTTTCGAGTTTCAGCCTGTGTGAACCCTTCAGAAACGCAACACTCCGCTGATGACTCAGTAAGACAATGATGCTTATGGCTTAGATGTGCAGGTTATATGTCTGAAGTTGAGTGTATACCAATCTGGACTTTTAGGACATTTCAGAATATTAGGAACACAAGTTTTTTTAGTTTTGCTAACTTTAAAGGTGGCTTCCTCTAATACAGTTCCAAAGGGATGCCAAACTGGCTAGCTCTGATGTCCAGTCAAGGCAAAAGTAGTAGATGCACATGGGATGCAATGTGTCTACAACCTAGACCTACCGATTTCCCTTTACTTACTACAGATAGAGTCAAGACTGCTAGCTCAGCAGTCAGATATCTGACTGCTAGGGCAGACAAATCCCTTCTGACTAAAACAACTGGTTGTTACAGATGTTGTAGGCAAGTGACATTGAAAGACAATGAAAATAAAGAAACAATTAGACTATGTTTGAATATTACAGAGTTAATGTATTACCAGGATTTTTACATAATTCACATCATGACAGGAAAAGACATCATACACCTCAACTGTAACAGATTATTAGCAAAAGGTCATGGTCCACCTTCCCCAAGAGAATTCAAAAAAAGAAAGCTAACAGAACTGCAGCAACTCCGGCCATACATTATAGCTGTCTTCTCATGTAAAACCAGTATTTGAAGCATTGTATGCCAAACATAAAGTCCTTGAAGTTGCCGTGACATTTACAAATTAAACATCTGTCACTGTACAATAAACCTGACAACTATGTTTGCCCCTAGGGAAAACAGTCTTGCAAAGTCAAGATGACTAGTTCCACAGACTTGGCAGCCTCAACACAGCCCCTGGGCAGTTTAAGTTCCTACTACAGCATATTACGCACCACCATAAAAAAACATTTCCTCAACAGAAGGAAGA